TTATTTTTAATAGTTTTTTTATTTTAATGATTTTTTAATGATTTATTTTGTATAAAGAATAACAAAGAAAATACGCTTTCTAATAGACTTTTAAATGACTGAACATTATGCAAGAATTTATTCATCTTATTTTCGAATATTAATTGGTATACGATCCCAAGATTTCGAAAGGGAAAAAAAAGAATCTCCGGACACCAGGTATACCTGTATGAAGTGAAATTTTATCGCGATAATTGAAGAGTTCATTGACATCGAACGTTTTAAGTCTGATTATTTTTTTTTTCTTTTTTTTGATTTACGTTGATTATGATAACGATTATCACACGAGAAGTATCAGATGACTGTGTACGTTATTAACTTGATCGTTTTAAAAGACGTCGATGTCAATGTACTCCGAGAAATACCGAAAACCACCGACAGTATTGTTTAGTAGGTTGAGAAGTGATAATCAAGAAAAAAATTTGGTGATTGATGATTTTTAACGATTAAAGATAATTACTCATTTATGTATAAATAGTTGTTCATGAATTCGCTATTCTTATAAAATCGTTGATTGCGTTAAGAAGAAAGGCGCGTGTTATATTATTGCATTTTTTATTCGATTTTTCAAATCAATGGAATCTACCGACGACAAAATGTTAACAAATAATTCTATGGTGAATTGTTCGTCCGAAAGTACGTATTAATTTGCATTTATCCTGCAAACAAAAAGAGAGAAAGAGAAATAGTTTAATTCGTAAATATTATTTATTAATTAAAGTACTGTATATAATATATATAGAATAAAATATATTATATAAGTATATGATAATAAACTATGTATATATATAATTTATTGCTTACAAAAAAATAATGTACAGGCAGTATAGTTAAGAGAATATAGTAAACTCTCTCTCTCTCTCTTTTTTTCTTTTTATTCTCCATTGATTTAATCCGACAAGTTAGTTCACAATGATTTTTAATAAAAATATAGAAAATAATTTATTGAGTATAAATAAAAATATTAATATTCGATTATTAATAAGGATTATTTATCGAAAATTTTACAACAAACCTATCGTTGCATTTATTATGCAATATAAATTTAATTGTATAATATATTGCAATATTATTATTATTATTTTATCTTATTTTTGCTTATCAATTTTGTTTGATATATCAAAAGTATGATAAAATTTGATCCTCTTAATCTTCGTTTATCTCATTATTTCAATCTTTATATCCGTTCCTGGATTTATTAGTATTTTTTTTTGTATAAACACCAACGATTTTTCTGTACAATTAACACAACCGTGACCAACAAACGTATATTTATGAGTTATTATTTATATTACGTCACGAGTAAAAACATGTCATTTGCTTCTTTTTTTGCATTGTATATTCTTTTCACGATCATCTTTACTTCCGTTCAATATTATTTTTACACGTATTTCTTTCAAACTTATTCTAACACGATTCGTGTTTTAATGTAAATGACGTAAAACTGTGATAAAAATATATTACAATGTAAATATATTATAATGTAAATACAAAAAAACAAGTTATATTTATATCGTTAATTACGTTAATTAAAAAAAATTAACAAAATAAAAGTACAAAAAGAAAACAAACACACAAAGAAAACGTAAGTATAATATTTAAAAAAAAAAATATAATCCATCCATCAATCGACCGGAATATTTCAATTGCCAAGTTCCAATGTATTAGCCTATTCGTTCAAGGTGAAGCGATGACGTAGCGTTACACGCTAGAAATGATATTACTAGACAAACAAGAATAAGAGAGATAGAAAATATAGAATTAAACACAGAAACGAGACATCAGATTGTTGCAACGTCAGTCGATTTATTAGCTCTTGACCTTGTTAAATACTCCTAACAAAGAATTTTTTTTTTTTTTTCTTTTTTTTTTTGTTTCTTTTGGATATCAAACTTTATATGCTAGTATATAGCAATAAATATTAAATACCGATAATAGCAAAGTAATAACCAAACATGGTAATTTGTTGCACGAATGGGAAAGGTAATCGTTATAATATGTTAATAGTGCAATACTAAGACGATAATAGTGTTCGAATCAATATCATTTTTTCTTTAATATTTATTTTTTCTTTATTTATTACGTGTGTATGTATTTAATGTGTGTATGTGAGAGAGAGAATTAGTGTGTATGTGTGTGAAGGGAGGGGGGAGAAAGAGAGATAGGAATGATTACGTGTATGTGTGTGAAAGGAAGAAAGAGAAAAAAGAACATAATCGAAATGCGAGAAGTCTGTATATCTTTCCGTAATACCTGCACTTATCTCAGGCGCTACGTCGAAGCATCCTAATGCATTATTATGGCAGCGCTTGCTATCAAGCAAATAGTTTGCTATCGGCCTAGGTCTAGTGCGGTTACGATCAAAAATGGAGCAGAAATCTATGTCAGGTACGAGCGAATGAGATTCAATGATAACACGTGTGAACCTCTTGGATATTATTCTACAATAATAATTCATTTATCATTTATTTATTCTTCTTTATTTTATTTGGTCTTTTTTTTTCTCTTTTTTTTAACTTTTTAATTTCTTTTTATTTCGATATTAAAACGATTAATATTATTTATTTGTTTGCGTTGTGTGTTAGTTCGTTTATTTATAAATTATATTAGAAATAAGTATGCTCGAAAATTGTGTATTTCTCTTTTATTTTATTTTATTTTATTTTATTTTATTTTATAGTTCCTTTTATTTTTCGTTCGTTTAATCTTTTTTTCATTTTATTTTTACTTTCTTTTTTTTTTTTCTATTTTATAGATACAGATACAAAAAAGTGGCAAACGTTGTTAAGGAAGTTTGAAAATGACAATGGGCTTGTCATTGAGGAGGCAAATAATGAAGCGGGATCTAATAAGGGAGACAATTATACGTCGATTATGATCAGAACTTTGGTCTCCGGTAAATTCGGTGACGGTAGTCGTTAGTATCTTTTATTTATTTTTTATTAATAATTATTATACATTGTTTATTATTATTAATACATTTTGTATTAATTGTACATTTTTGTTTATTATTATTAATACACAAATTATTATACATTGTTTATTATTATTATTAATAATATTGACTTTGTCCTTTTTTCTTTTCTTTTCTTTGCTGTGTAGCTTATAAAAAAAAATTTATGACTAAAGTACTTCCGTATACACGCGCAGTATCGCAAATGATCAATACGGAAGCATTATATTTAATCGAGGGATACATTTATGAAAAGATATTACCTATTATTGGTGATTTTGGACCACGTTCCGTTTTATTAGACAAGGCCGAAATTATTATGGAGGATTTATCCGAAAAAGGATATATCAATTGTAAAAGACAAAATCATCTTGATTTGGAACACAGTTTGTTCACCATTCAGGTATTTATTCTTCTCCTTGTTGATCATTTTTATTCCTATCTTTCTTTTTTTTTTCTTTTTTCTATAAATTTTTGTTTATCATCGATAAATCTCTTACGTAAGTTTAAATCTGTATCACAACTATACACATGTATATATATATATAGATAAGTTAGTATCGTTTCGTAAAAGATAATATATAATACCGAGTATATTACGTATGAAGGATGCGTACAATTGCAAATACCTTACAAGGTTAATAATCGCTTAGATAAGATATTTACATTTGTTTTTCTCACTTATGTTCCTATAAACGAGTTATCTGGAAAATTTATATATAATAGTTATTTATGTGTTCTCTGACCTGAAAGAGTGTTGGTAGTTTGGTGTACGAGACGTGAATATTTTTGGGCCGAGACGTTATTATTATTACATTCGGGATAAAAGCTTATGAAATACGGCTAGTACGTTGGCAGCTATTTTTCGTTAGAAAATCAACACTTTTTATTTGTTTCCTATGATTTATTATCAATATCGTGAATATATTATTTAAAAAAAAAGAAAGAAAAAAAAACATATCACACACGCGAAGAATTAATGAGAAATCTAATAATAGTAAGAGAGAACAAAGTTAGCCTCTTATATAATATTTCGTTGTTCATTTTATAACAAATTATTATACATTAAAAATTGTACTTTCATGTATAGTAAAGAAACAATTCTAATAACGAGGTTGTTATTTGTTTACTTGGTTTCTTTTCCAAAGTCATTGATAATATAATAGTGCAGTTATAAAAAAAAGATACGAATATAAAAATGATATACAATTTTCGTAATAGTTTTTTTTATCATTTCAGAATTTAGCCAAATGGCACGCAAAATCTTTGTCGATAAAATTGAAGGATCCGGAAAATTTCGATAAATTGACAAGTCCTCTGAAGGAAATTATTTTTACGATCGATTCTGTCTCTGTGATTGGCAGTACTGTTGAGAGTAGTATGAATAGCGGTGTCTATAACTTAGAATCGATAAAGAATCCATCGGAAAATATTAAAAAAGTCATAGAATATTTGAAATCATTGAAACATCAATGCTACAATATTTTGTCAAAGTTGTTCAATTTACCAAAGGAAAAATACTTTTGTATTTGTCATGGGGACCCATGGATGAATAATATTTTATATAAATACGATAAGAACGGCAAAGTATCGGATTTGAAGTTCGTTGATTATCAAATTGTTAGACACTCATCGGTTGCCACGGATTTTCATTATTTCGTTTATACCAGTGTAAGATCGTGCCACATCGAGAATGATTATGATAAATTGGTGGAACACTATCATCGTCATTTTTCGCGATATCTCGAAGAAAATGGCGTTAACGAGGAACATCGTAAAAATTTAAATATAGATTGGTTCAAATCGGAATTGAAAAGATTTAGTTTATACGGTTTGTTAACTGGATTCTGGTTAATTCACGTTATACTTGCAGATGAGAATAATATATTAGATATGGATAAATTAACTTTGGAAGACGTAGAAAATATAGAAAGTTTTTATCAGGACATTGACGATAATAAACTCAAAAGATACAAATGCGTAGCTTCGCATTTTTATAATACATTTGTTAAATAGAGATTAAATTTTATATGAAATAATTAACTAAAGGGAAACATAGTATTGTATAACAAATAAATACTATCTGTTTGTTACGTTATAAATAGAATTAATCGTGTTAGGATAATTTACATTTTGTAAATTTGCAAAATAGGACAACTGTGTGTATATAAAAAAAAAAAAAGATAAAAAAAGTGTAATAAAAAGAAAGTATTGTTTAGAGAAATTATTTTTGTAATCTTATATAATATTATTGTAAAGATTAACAAAAATAATGTCAGCTAATGACCGGTATTATATAATATAATATATATTAATATATGTATATAATATTATAGTAATATTATATATATATTATATTATAGTAGTTATCAATATGAGTTATTATTTAATTATTAAACATTTGAATAAGATAAATAATAAAATATTACGTATAAAAAACATTAATTATTATAATGTAATGCAATCGAAATAACAAAAGTATTATCAAATTATTTGTAACCTTTCTATTAAAGTATTAATGCACAAATGTTAATGTTTCATTTTAAAAAAAATAATACTCATTTTTTATTTACCGGAAATACGATGTTTTTTTGTTCCTCTAGTTATTCCAATTACAAAATGTTCTTTTTTCAGTTAATTATTATCTCCCGATTTGTACTTTATTCTACCAATCCATAATACCTTACGATAAATTCTATAAATAATGACATATGTTATCGCGATAAAAAGATCGATGTTTTGTTTGTAAGAATTTTTGAATTAGTCACGTTTTATATGTATCAAAAATTGCTAACGCTATTCATAATAAACGGTCAACGTTGGAAACTTATAAATAAATATCATTAATTTCAATGATATCGATATATCTCATCGTATATTAAAATTTGAAAATTATATAAAATAAAAATGAAATCAGTCGGTAATGTAGAAAAGAACAAATTCTATAGTCGGTAATGCAGAGAACGATTTTTTCTTCATATAATAATCGACGAAGATAATCAAACAACTAGATGATGCATGCCACACCATGGATAATTTTGTATTACCAAAATCGATTTCGTTTTCTGGATCGAGGGAATCTGCGGGATAATTTCTCGTGGTAGTTCGGTAGGGACGACGTTTATCGTATACAGAGTCGTCGTCGCGTTGTTTCCTTGATTCTGAACACCCTCTAGAAATGTTCTCGTAGATGCTTCGTGGTGGTGCACTTCTGTTACGATTTGGCAAAAGCCGTCAGTACAAAATGTCCTTCGAACGAGCGTGGTCGGTGGTTGTTACATGACAATGATCCTGATCCCGACGAAGATAGGATCGAAAAGAAGGAACGGTGTTTTAGATAAGTTCTAAAAAAGAAAAAAGAAAAAAAATTTTTTTAAATTTAAAGCACGCATCTTTTACGAATATTTTATTTTTTTTATTAATATATATTTTATATTAAACAACGATACGATAATATCGTGATTTTTTAAGTGTTACGAAAAATATTTTTGGTACAATTTTATAAATCAAAATGAGAATATCATAATAGTTCGACGATTTCGCGTTTAACATTTTTTTTTTTTTTTAAATCATTCTACAATAAAGTTTGTTTGTTTCTTTTATTTTTTTGTTACCGTGGAAGAAAGTGTGTAATTAAAGAAAAAAAATAATTAATAATCGCAAATTGAACATTCAACCTCGTTTTCTAATATTAAAGCTTTTAATATTATTAACAATAATCGTAAATGGAAAATAACAACAACAACAACAACAATAATAAATAATAATAAATGGAAATAATGTACGTCTATTTAAAATTAGTGTTTATCAATTTAATATTGGAGTGGACAATTTGTAAAAAAATCGTAAAATGTTCGTGAGAAAGGATCGAAAGGATCTAATGATCAAGGCAGTTAGAACGTTTGCATTATTATTATTATTATTAAATGGTGAATTTCAATCGGTTCGTCGATCTTTCGGCGAGTCATGCGTTTGGATATTCGATTAGATTTATTCTTCAATGACCATCGTCGATTAATTCATTTTCGGGTCCTTCGTAGTCTAACGTTTTATCGACGGGGTCGAAGAAAACAGACATCCAATTGAAAAGAAGAAAAAGAAAAGGAAGAAGCAACAAGAAAGAAAAAGAAAAAGAAGAAAAAGAAACCAGTTTACCGGAAGTAATTTCATTTGTGAGACCAATCCTCGATCAAGAGTGTCTGTCACGTGATCTTTAAGAGGTTATGTGACTGCCAGGAAGAAAGAATAGACAAGAAACTAGAAAATTAAATTTTATTTCGACTTCTTCTCAATCCTACTTCACCTTACTTTACCCTTCTTCTGTCTATTGTTATTTTTTATTTGTATTTTTTGGGATCACGTCGTCGCTGATATTAAAAAGGTACGTATGCACGTGAAAACAATCCCATTGGTAGATAATTGTAGGCCCAATTATGCGCAAATTTGAATAGGTGCTTGAAAAAAGCAAATCCAACCCCCTTTTTTTAATTTTATTATTATATTTCATTTCTATAGAGTTGTTAGAAATCTAACATAATTCGTGACACGATTATTGTTGAATTTCTTTTAATGAGAAGAATAAATAATGTTATTTATCGTTCATGGATAATACGTATTGAAAAATAATTACTTAATCATGAAAAAAATAAAAGAAGAAAGTTGAACATTGTCGGTTATAATAAATTAAGATTAGTGTTAATTTTTTACGACATTTTGCAAGTTCGTTCTTTTTAGTACTACCATAAAAGAAATTTTGTAAAAAAAAATGAAAGGATTATCAATTAGAATATCTATGACCGTTTTATTATCATTTCTTTCCTTTCGATTACTTTATGTTTCTTTCCATTACTTTTTTTTCACAATCGAATTACAAAAAGTTTGAAAGTATTAACAATAAAAATATATCTTTTCATCGAGTATTTCTTTTCAATATAACTAATCAAAACAGGTATTGATTAATCGAAAGTGTAAGCAAAAATATTAAAAAAAGAAAAAATATACGAAAAAAGGAAAGAAAAATAGTCAAACCAAAATGCGGATCAATTTTAAAAGATAACATGTATACAAATATATATTGTATATATATCGGAGATAAACGTTTATTATTTTGTGATAAATCTTTTGACCACGTTATAAATTTTAGATGTAAGAATAGAGAGGAAACCTTTAACCATTAATTCATTTATGCGAATTACTGGGGTTTTCCCTTTGTAATATGATCGATAGGACTTCTAAATCATTATACGTCTCTTTGTTCTTCTATCAAAACTTTTGCTATACATTGACACGTTTCTATCATTTATTTAAATGATCGCTAAATTATTTCTAATGATTTTCGTCGTTTTTAACTTTTTTATATTGTTTTGTTTTTTTTTTTTTCGTTTAAATTGACATCGAACAAAAATTTATTCGACACATTTGTATAAGTATCGATGATTTTGTTGTTCTCTTGTTATACGTATATGTGTTATCTTTCGGGACTATTAGTTTAATCCGTGTTTGAATATTAATTATTCAAAATGCTTATTCTTTATCTTTTTTCGAAACTTTTAAAATAGCCACCTAAAATATTTTAAAACGAAACAAAATAAAAATTATGCATTTTAAATACAAAACAGATGGAGTTATGTAAATTAGTATGCGTGAAACGAATAAAAGTTGGACAAAATTATTCTATTTCATTTAATCTTCGTCAGAATTGAACTAATGTAAATCTATGAAAAAATGTAGAATAATTTTTCATAAAAAAGATTAGATATTGAAATAAAAAAAAAAATGAATATAAATATATTCATTATATATATAATATATATATATTCTATATAATATATAATAAAATAGTAACATTATATATATAATATGTTTATAAGAAAACTTGCTATAGAATTTTTATTGACGTTAAAGTAAAATCGATCGATAATAGTAGGATGAACAAAAGTTAGGTGGACATTTTTTTTTTCTCTCGGTAATATTATTATACACAACATGTAAAAAGCATCGAACGAATGACGATAATGACGGAGATTCTTTTTTTTTCTGGTTTTATCAATGGAAGAAAATGAGATTTCAGCTCAGTACGATTATTATACCGGAAAACGAAGGTCGATCTATTTTACTTCCGTTAATGTCTCTCTACGTATCGATCATTTTATAATCGCGATAAAATAATGTGCGATACTTTTTCTTTCTTATCTTTTTTCTTTTTTTTGTTTTTTTTTTCTAATGTTTAACAACGTTAAGATCATTTGTTTCTTCAATTTTTGAATTCATGTGAAAACTATAGAAAAATTATAATTTATTGCATTCAATATTTAATATACCTACGTATTTTACGTTGTCAAAGTGAAACAAGCTTTTCTTTTTTTTTTTCTTACATCTTTTTTTCGAACAAAAATGCGTCCATTTATTGTTCAAGCATCTCGTGCAAATTTAATAATTATATATATATATATTTTTGTTTAAACAAATATTTTTAGCCAATAAATGAATTCTATCAGTACTCGTACATTTCAACGATGAAAAATATTTATTTGAATATTATATACGAAGTATGTTAAAAGTATTATCGATTATTTATCTTCTTTTTAATCTTTCACGTATTCGATACAAATTTTAGATCCGTCGATTATATACGTTTGCCATTACTGATTACTACTATTTTCAATTTACCGTGAAATTTCTTCATGTTTTAACGTTAGGGTTAAAAAGATGACATTTTTTTTTTTTAACTCTCCGTGAATATTATAATTAATTTTTCTTCAGTTGCACGTGTCTCTTTTTTCTCTCTTACTCTTTCATAGATATATGTATGTATGCGCGTTGAAGATATTATTACGATAAAAAAAAAGAGAAAAAAAAGAAAGAAAAATGACTTTCTCCGTTCATATTTGCACATTCTCATTTTGATATAAGATCGATACGCTCGTTATTATATGAGATTTTTTTTTCCCCCATTACAACACACTGATCAATCTCGTTCCGTTCTTTATTATTCTAACGTGTTATTTATTGTTCGTAAGATAACATAATGGGGAAATCGTATGAGAATAAAACACATCGTGAAGAATAATAAAAAACAAAAAACCAAAAAAAAAGAGTGAAGAAATTATCGTAAACTATTCCAATGCTTGTTTTGGATTGCATTAATTTATCATATCTTTTTATTTATATTATTTATATTATATTAACTGTCAATCGATTTTTTTTTTGTATATTTTTTATTTGTTTTTTTATTATTAATATGTGGTCAGTGAACAAATCGACGAATTAAAAGAAAATAAAAGCGAGAAATTTTAAAGCATTCTTTTTAAAAAGAAAACCTAGACACCCATTAACATATTTATTTTTTTATGACCGATTTTAATAACCATAGAATCATTCAAAGGTAATTTCAATGTGTATAAAGTTTATAGGTATGTGTGTATAGTCAAATGAAACTGAAGAATGGTTGACAATTTTAGTTAATTTAATCCGATGATTGGGGGGGTCGCGTAAAATCAAACGAGCTCAATCAATTTCCTGCAATTTTCCTATTCATATTCCATTGTTATTCGTTCGATTGCTCGCGATTACAGTTTTAAAATTGTCCCTCAAAATTATATATATTATACTATTACTGTTAGAATCTAATTTACAAATTTGTTCAATAACGTTGAATTATATTCGTATAATTTGTGATACTTAACGTTTAAATTGAATAAGTTTATCATTACAAAGATATTACACGTAGATATTTTAATTAATTAATTTTATATATAATTATGTATTTCATTAATTTAAATTGAATAAAATAAATTTGTAAACATGAATAACGAAATAAACGTTTAGAAATAAATTTCGTAATTAATCGAATTAATTATAAATAAAATAAATTCTTAAAAAAAAAAAAAAAGAAAGAATAAATTCTAAATCGAATTAATCGAATTACGATTTGTGTGTGCGTGTGCGAAATTGTATTATTATTTTATATATGTGATCAAACCCTTCACAAAATTAATTTCGAATATGATGTTGATATCATCATAAAAATGCATTTCATTATTAACGATAATCAATGACATATATTTATTTCGTTCGAAAATATCGTTGTGTTGTAACTTTCAATCGATCGTTTCAATCATTTTCTCACGCTGAAAGAAAAATTCCCATGATTTCTCCTCGATAAATAAGAAGTACGAAGATAAATAAGTTTCAATGGCAGCCCCTCACCCCCGGCCCCGCCCCCAACCACTCTTTCTTTCCACTGTAAAAACACACTCTTCTTCTTTTGAGATGTGAGAACCCTTCTTCATGAATATTTTTAATGAAGCTTCTCCTTTTGACGTAATTCCAAATTCTAAGGAGCTTTGGCGACACGAGAAGACTAAATCGATATTAAATCATTTTACGATATATATAATTTCTAATTCTGGAAGGGAGGAGATAAATGTTATTGCTACAGTACGAAAATAAATAATATTATGTGCAAATATATAAACAAAATAAACGTAATATATATTTCCAAACGTTAGTCTTTTTATATTACGTTTTTGCATTTAAAATTAAAAAAAAAAAAAGAAGAAAAGTCAAAGTACGAAAGTAATTATTAAAAACAAACTGATTAATCAGATCATTTGAAAGAAAAACATGTATTTTATCCAATTGTAAATGCAAGATATCACTGTTATCGTATTAAAAGATCACAATATGAAATAATAATCTTTTGTATAAAGAGAGAAAACAAATTCGTGATAATTGTTTCGAATTGTACAGAAAATTAAACGAAATTATGTATTTTTTTCAGATAATCTATCCAGGGGGCCATCGTGAGAAAAAAAAGAAATGAAAAATACTAGAAAACGATGAGAATTACACGTGTCGCGCAAAAATTCGCGAGAAACCTAATGAAAATCGTATAATTCGCAAAATACACATACACACACGCACGTTGATTCTTTGACCAAAAGTGCAGAAAACAAAACAAAAAAACAGAAAACTAAAAATTAAAAAATATTTCTAATCAAGATGGAAAGCATATGGGATATCGTAATAGAAAATTTAACGGAACAATCGAATTCTAGCAGCATATGCAATGGCACATTAAGAAACAATGATCCAACTTGCGATACATATGAAAATGATATTGGTTACGATCGTGATCTCATCGAAAAAATAGTCAGCGTAATCGTGCCGGTTTTTTTTGGCATGATCGGTATTCTCGGATTGATTGGAAACACATTGGTAGTCATCGTCGTGGCTGCTAATCCAGGAATGAGATCAACCACGAATATATTAATCATCAATCTAGCAGTGGCCGATTTACTTTTCGTCATATTTTGCATACCATTCACGGCTACAGATTTTGTTCTACCTTATTGGCCGTTTGGTAATGTTTGGTGTAAGATTGTCCAATATCTTATCATCGTAACCGCTTATGCTAGCGTCTACACGTTAGTCCTCATGAGTCTTGACAGGTAAGATTTTTGTTGTTTTTTTAAATAAAGAAAATATTGTTTTTCTAGTACCATTAAACTATACAAAGATTTGACCACTGTCGTTCATTTATTAATGATACACATTGTATATATTCTTATATTTTTCATTTACTTTATCATTTTTTTTTTTTTAAATAAAACGATACTCTTATGAAATATATTATTATTATTATTATTATTATTAAAATCTGATAAAATATAAATTAGTAATTAATAAATATTGTCAAACGAAGTTAACGTGTCTCTCGATAAACTATTAATCCAATTTTTATATACAGGATTGCATTCAATAATTTTGTTTCTTTTATCGAATAGAAACAAACTTATGTTTAGCATTGTTTACAAAATTGTAATATCGAATAATGCAACGTGTTAATTTTGATTTTTTGACAGAAGTGCATAGGATTGCGGTTGGAATAAGATATTTCAACTAATTACATTTTGTATTCGTTTTATTTGTGTTGTAGATCGGCCCCAATTTTCTTCTTTATTTTATTTTTTCTTTCTTACTTCCGTCACAATGGTGAATCTTTTTCTCATGCAAAGTATGTAAATACATATATATATAAAATGCTTACGTAAACGTACGTGGTGGACTACTTGACAGACGGGTGAGCATAAATTTCGCAAAATCGTGATCTTACATTCCGTTTGCCAAGATACACACACAAATATATATATATATATATATATGATTTTTCTTTTAGTTTTACGTATTCCTTACCACACACTGCGGACAGGATGATTCTTTTGCCGCGATAAAATGAATGTCGTCGTTTGATGGACCCGCCGACCAACCTTTTTTCGTTTTAAAATTCATTCGACTTGTATTTGCTATTTTTCGAGAAATAGGAAAAGAAAGTGTGAGATAGATAAATCAATGAGATAGGAAAGAAAAACGTCTTACTTAGTTTCTGTTTTCTTCCTGCACCACCACCCCACCCACCCCAACCCCTTTTTTTTCTTTCTTTAAGTTTGATTAGTTAGAATATTTTTGACTTTGAACGATTAAATTCGGTTCGTTTCATTTCGTTTCGTTGCCTTGAGTTGCATTACTAATGTAACATTTCGATTTTTTTAAAGGTGATATATTAGTATTAAAAAATGTACAATTTACTTGTTTTAAATGTTTTAGAAACACGTTTTTTACGATCGTCATATTAAATATTATCGATTTTATGTATTTAATATTACATTCAAAATAATGTAAGATTTAATAATTATATTTATTTTATATATATATTATTATTATTATTATTGTATTCAATTTTAAGATATATGCTTTAATTAAATGTAATTCTTTTTAAATGAATCAGAACACTTGCTGAGTTGATAGTTCATATACGATGTGACCTGTCAAATAATTTTCACGCAAAAAAAAAAAAAAAAAAAAAAAAAACATTATTTTATTATACGTTTTGTTTCGTTGTATTAAAAATATAACATACTCTGTTTCGGTTGCATTCAAAAAATAATGCGTAATTTGACCCGACAGGATAGGTCAGTGCATTCGCATAAAAAGTATAATGTCACAATAAGTTAGAACGTATTATGCGGTATATTTTTTGATTTTTTATTTACAAAAAAAAGATCAGTGAGTAATAACTTATAAAAGTTTCCAGTATTTAATCTCGTGTAATTTGTTTAAATCATATTCGACATTACATTCCAATGTTTATTCCTTTTCGTAACGCGATACTGTACAAACAAATACACGAAGGATATTCTGTAAAAAAAAAAAAAAAAAAAGAGAAAAACACCGATGAAACATAAGAAACCTTTTTCGTTAAATAATTACATGTTTTACCGATAACGTATGCTTACGTTATTATTAGACGAAAAAAAAAACAAAAAATTGGAAAAAACATTATAAAGATAAATATGAAGAAAAGGAAAAATATAATCAAAATATATATTATCAAAAAAGAGAGAGAAACAAAAATAAACTCGAAAAGAGAAAAGAATGATTTGTCCTGTGCATCGACTGACACTCTCTCACAGGGCACATTATCGTCCTTTCGCGTATTCCCGTGAAAAAATATCAAGTTAAGGGAAGAAAAAAAAAGGATATATGTATGTATTCCCTCGTTGGAGAAAGAAAGAAAAAGAAGAAGAAGAAGACAAAAAAAAAAAAAGATAGATAGAAAAGAAAGGTGTGAAAAACATGTACAGTTGCGTTCGTTCTACTTCCTCGTTTCATGCAAGAAAATGTAGCTCGGAAACATCTTTGTGTCTCTATGACGTTCTCGTTAACAAATCTTTTCCCACTCGTACTATTTTTCTATTTTTATTTTTTTTTCTTTCTCCCTTTCTCTCTAATGTAAGCTTTAAATATACTATGCAAATGATATTTACGTCATAAAGAGTTTATGAGATCAAGTATGGACTATTGGGAAAAACATAAATGGATATATACACTTACATATATATTTTTATATATGTGTATAAATTGCGTGTATGTATGTACATTACGTATTACGTAGGTGTTTTTCTATGTCTGATTAAAACAATAAATTTACGACTTTCATTCATAACATCTCGATATGAACATTGAAAAATCATTTGGATGGGCTACGTGTCCAAGAATTTTTCACAATCTATTTCTGTATCGCGATACACACTTATATTACCATACCACGTTTTTCTTTTTTCCTTTTTTTAAACTGGCGGAGCGATCAATCAATTTTTTAATCAACGAAAGCATTAAAGCAATGAAAATGAAAATGGGCAGGTTTCGTGCCAACGAGGATTATTTTTTGATCCTATACGTTTTTCCATACGTATATAGGTAGTACACAAATGCGTGTATATGCGTAAATATGTGTATGTGTGTGTGTTTCAATTAAGTCTAATTTCGATATTAATTCCTGCTATTGACAATAATAATAATAATAATAATAATAATAAAAAAGTGGTCAATTGATCGTTCACGATAAAAACAAAGTATAAACGAAGTGTTGATAGGTTCAGTATTTATGTTAGAAATATTTTTAATAAAAGAAACAAAATTTTACTTCGTTAGTATTATATATATATATACAATTACATATAATACTATTATATATATGCAATTATAATATAACTAATTATATATACATATATAATATTTTATATAGTATACAATATTTCGTTAAATTATTATTAATAAAAACATTAAATATATTTATTTATCTCTTACGATTAATATTTTCTCTCTCTTTCTCTTTATCTGTTTTCTGTTCTCAGGTATTTGGCAGTAGTTCACCCAATAACATCTATGTCCTGGAGAACCGAGAATAATGCAATTTTAGCGATTGCAATCGCATGGGCGGTTATATTTGCGTTATCCACGCCAGCTCTTGTTATTCACGGCGAGGTAAGTCAACAACAATTCATTTAATAGAAAACGAGCTGATGGATATTATTCAAACGTAATATATATATTCAATAAATATTGATAATATTCTATTTGTCTTTATCTCTCTTCCTCTCTCTCTCTATTTTGCTATTGCTTTAAAATTCTCTATAATAGCTACTTTTATTCATTTTATTTTGTTTATATTATACGTATTATTTTTATACACCTTTTATGTTAGTTTCTTTTTATTCTTTTTTGTTCTCTTTTTTTTTTGGTTTTATTACGTTCATATTATACGTATTATTTTTTTATTGGTTGGGGCCAATTTTTAATTTGTTGACCAAATACACTACGGTTAAAAATCGATTTATCGTATTTACGGAAAAAAGAAATAAATAAATAATTTGAGTCTTTTTACTGTTTACCTATGTCAGTCGTATATATATATTTGAGTTATACGACTGGTAGATCGGTGATTTTGTGAGATCGAAGATAAATAAACAAACATTTGAGAAAAATGTTAGACACGTTTTCTATGACAATTGATTAAAAATGATATACGATGATATATTATCGGACAGAAAGCAAACTAAATATTTTTACACATTACATTGATAGATATTGTTCTTATTGTATAAGTATTTACATTCCTTATTGATTATTTTATTATAAGTGTTGTTTTTTTTTCTATATTATATAAGAATAAATCCAAATATTTTAATTGGTATGTGTTAACATTCTCCAATTTCGGTCTTTTACGTTAACATATATATATTTGTATATAATTAATAATATGTTAATAAGTATTTATATGTAAATATATTCGATGAAACAATCGATTAAAATTAGCTTGCAAAATATAATGGGGAATATTGAACATTTGTTTTTTTTTGCTTTTTTTTTTTAAATTTATAGCCCTTTTACTTTAACAAAAGTTGCACCCTTATGTATGTAGATTCACTTTGTGTTTCAGGATATGGAAGACTGGTCGTCGGAAAATCTGACGGCCTGTCGGATCTTACCGCAATATGATTGGTCATTTTTCCAATTATCCTTCTTCTTAACGAGTTATTTGCTGCCATTGACGCTGATATGCGTCTTTTACGTTTGCATGCTTGTCAGATTATGGCGTGGGGCACGTGTTAGTGCCGAAAGTCGACGAGGTAGAAGACGAGTAACACGATTGGTCCTCGTAGTTGTTGGAGTTTTTGCTATATGTTGGTGTCCTATTCAGGTAAATTAAATTTCCTCATTTTCCTCAAATTTAAATAAATAATTATAATATTATACTATATAATTAAAATTAAAAAAAGATAAAAAATATTTGATACGTTGTATCGTAGATCGAATTAAATAGGAAATATATCGATTCGTATGTATTTTCATGTGATTAATAATTATTTTAATAATAAATTTATTAAAAGAGTAAATTTAGAAGTAAAATGAAAAATATAATGCGCGCAAGTGTGTAGTACGATACATTAATTTTATTTCTTCTAAAATATCATCGGATTACTCGAATTATACGATTAATTCTTATTCGATCTGTGTATAAAAAAAAAAGAAAACAAAAAACAAAACAAAATGTACGAATAAAGAATAAATAATATTAACGCAAAATATGATTGTGTTAATTTGTTTACAGGTGATATTGGTTACGAAATCTTTTGATGCGTATCCATTGAGGTCGGTGACGATTATAATCCAAATAGTGAGTCACATTTTGGCTTATACCAATAGCTGCGTCAACCCCATCCTTTACGCTTTTTTGAGCGACAATTTCCGGAAAGCCTTTCGGAAGATAATCTATTGCAGATCACGACAAGATCAACAAAGATCCGGTCCACCTACGAAAACTACCAGAGCCGCAAGCACCGGTGACATCCTTTGAGTAAGTCAATAAATTCATTCATCAAATAAATTGGCAAATATATATTGAGAATTAAATTTAGAAAATTAAAAGGTTAGTTAATATTGCATTCGGAAATTAATTTATAATAATAATAATTCTATAATTATAATTATATTATAATAATATAATTATTTATAATATAATTATAATAAATTAATTTGTAAAATAAAATTCTTGATAATATTAAACAACTTATCGATAGTACCGTGAGCTATCAAATGACTACTTTACACAACAACAACAAAATATATATATAGAACGAGATTTTAATTCAATTGGATAACGTACAATATATTTTTTTTTTACTTACAAATGAATAATATACATTTGTAGCATTTTTATCACATTCTTAAAAAAATTACACGATTCTTACTAATCACCGGACGCGGTCATTTGACATTACGTGGTATGATTTTAGTATTAAACAACTATATTCATAAAATATAACAATTAATCGTCCTTATTAAAATATACTTGATAAAGTTTGAGATTTAAAAGCAGCAACGAATAAAATAATTTAACATTTGTATCATCTCGATAAAATAATATTTCATTAAATACACTCGCGCAATTCGAGCGAATATCTTTCAGAATTAAAAAAAAAGGAATACGTTTTCTTTCTTTTTTATTCTTTTTTCTCCACCACTGATAAATATATTTTTCGTCTTGGCTACACTGTACTCTTCTTGGCGACTTCTTTTTTTTTTTTTTTTTATCTTTTCCGTATTCGCAGTAGGCGTAGTCGAGTACTCGACTTTCAAGTTCGAAATGTGAGCCTATCCAAAGAAGGGCGTGTAAGTGCGAGAGAGATGGAACATTTTTTAAAGAGGGTAGGCCAGGGTGAAAGGGTACTACTAGTAAAAAAAAAAAAAAAATAAAAGCTAGATTGCACTGGCCTGTTCTAAATTACGCTTCTCGTTTCATCGCTAGTGCAATTTCCTGCATTTTTCGTGCTATCGAGCCAACTAGGGGGAGAGAGATCCCACCCTTCCCTCACTTTAAAACCCCCTAACCCCATCAGTCAGTCGGTAGATTTTTTCCTTACGATTAAAGAATGAGTTTGATAATAGTGAATGAGAAAGCTTGGAAGCACTGTCACGAATGCAATCTCTTAAACTTTTTACCCCGTTCTATCATCGATTTTCATTCGAATCTTCTTGACGCGATAAGAAGGAAATGAAATATTGGTTTTCATTTTATAGTAGGGGGAGATGGGTGGGGATGGGTGGAAGGAAAAAACTATTTCCTCGAAAATCACATACGGTTGTTTTAAACGCTTTCAACAAACGAATGTACGAGATAATCCTATTTTTTTTTTCTCTTTTTTTTTGTATTTTCGGACTATTTCTTTTCCCCTTTTTTTTCTTCTCATTCGTTTAAATAAATTTTTGTGGACAACGATAAATACTTTTTCGTTTGAATACTTATATCCTCTGATAGAATTCAATTAAATTTATTTTAATGTTCGAATCGTTGAAGGATTTTTGGGATAAATTTTCGTAACAATTTGGTTAAATCATCAAATATGAATGGAAAATTTGTTTTATTAATTGTATCGAAAGTTTAGTATTTTTTAATTTAGCAATCATATACGCATTTGTATCAGTTTCGTATGTAAATATTTAATAGTAGTAGTAGTAGTAAAATAAAGGAAATAAATTCTATTTCTCGCTGACGTTTTCCACTTATGAAGAATAAGAGGAATAAGAAACATAAGAAGAAGAACTTATTCAGGCGTGCATATCGTCTGTTCGAGAAAGCTAGTCAATGGTATGAGAGAAAGAGAAATCCGCATGAGACAGTTTCGTTTAAAGATTATCGATTTTCTTGTCACGCATGAAGGAACGATAATAATACAAGTTACTCACTTACGTATACTTATGTATTGTATATTATGTACTTACGTATTATACTGTCAATTCTTCTTATTTTAAATTTCGGAAACTATATAAAAATACCTAAAAACGTCAAGTTAAAGTTAAAATTGCCTAGATATTCTAATATTTCAAAAATGATGAAGAACTAACGTGCGCACCACATTTTTTTGATAAATTTCATTCTTTAACACGTACAACACGAATGAGATCATTTAACTCTTGTGATCCATAAAAATAAATTAATTATTTTTCCTCCAATAATTTTCACTCCTTAAGCTTTTATCACAAATTTCTGTCTTCTATAAATTATATATAATATTTTGTAATAAAATGCATCGAGATAAATAAGTTTAGAAAAAAAAATTAGATAAAAAGAGGTAACATACATATCGTTAATATAAATCTATATATATATATAAGATAAATATAAAAATTCATAAAAAACATTAACGAAGAGGAAAAAAGTTAAATCAAAACGTTGCATTAGAGAATCCAAAGATATAATAATAATAATTATTATAATAATACTTGAACGAGAACTCAACTGTAAGCTAGGATAGCGATGTACCGAAGTTTCGAATTTCTCTGACGTAATATTGAACACTACTGGCAGAAAGAAGAAGAATAAGAAGAAGAAGAAGAAGAAGACAGAGAAAAAGTATTATATATATATATTAGACGAAGAAGAAAAACTTTCAGTGATTTACGAGAAGCGGAAGGGCAGAAACTGGAAAACAAGGGCCAAGCAAGCTCCTGTCGTAAAGCTTTTCTTTCAAACGGAAGAAGAAAGAGGGAAGGAGGGTGAGTTGTTGCTCGTGCTGAAAGATATGCAAAGGGAATAAATGCCGGAGACAAATGGACACTAGGGCTCCAAAAAGGGCGACTATCGTAAACGACTACGTGTTCGTGTGTGTGTTTTACATTCTTCTTTGTACGTAAAGTTAATCTATCTCTAAACTTGCAACCTAAGAAAACTATATATATATATATATATTTCCCTCCTCCCCCCACGCAAAAACGTTATTTTATTCTAACCTCGGTAAACAAAACGTAACGACCATTTATTTTTTTTGCATTTTTTTTCGTAGAATCGAACAAATTGCTCGCAACGATGTTAGATTTTTTTTATTTTTGGTCATACGTCTTTTGTTACCGTCTTATTTCTTTTCTTTTTCTTTCTTTTTTTTTTTCTTACCCGAAATTCTATATAATTATTTGACAAAACTTTTGTGGCGTATTCATGAATAATTACTTACGTTATATTACGTTTATTATATATATTATTTTCAAAGAAAAATATATTGGATATAATTTATATATAACGCGATATATTATTATGAATTATTTTAAATATATATATATCATTATTATACTTTTTTTTATTTATAATATCGTTATTCTCAGAAACGTTTATTATATTAGCATTCCGTATTCTTACGTTAAATAAATTGTGTTTCGTTAACTTTTATTCTTTAACGTTTAAAATATATTGACTTCCTCCCCTCCCCGTCCTTCTTCACCATGATTATTATAAAAGTTTTGATATTATTTCTGTCATCGGGGGAGAAAAAAAATTCTTGTCACAAATATTACATGATGTCTGTTAAATAGATATTTTTAGTAAAGATAAAGTAGTAGAAAAAGAAGAAGCAGAAGATAAAGTCTCGCAAAGGGATTTCTAAGAAATTTGCATTAACGCAGTTCAGTGAATTCGTTCTTGTGCAGTAACTCAGAAAGAATCTATCATGATCTACATATCTTCGTATTCATCGGAAACAACCAAGTCACGTTCATAGTACTACTTCAATGTTTTCTTACATTGGTAAGAAATGAAGAAAATACACGAGTTGATATATAATAAAATCAAGCTCAACATTTGAAATTCTATCGAATGATTAGGATTTTTATCTATTTCACGAAAATCAAATTTTGTCCAGGAAAAATTCAATTTTTAAAAATGAAATCAATAATTTCCTACGTAAAACGAAGAATTTAGATAATGCTTTATACAAATAGCAAAATAATAATCTGAAAAACTCGGTCAACCAACAAAAGGGACATTGTTTCGTTATTCCGACTAGAGAGAGAAAAAAAATCAAACTGTAATAGCAATGGTACGGGGAGAAGGAGAGGGTGGTGGTATGGCACATTATTCAACACCTTGGCACAATAGAAATTATTTCTTTTACTTTTATATATATTTTTCTTTTTCTTTTTTCCACTTGTTCAACGAGAACGTTATATTTTTTCAACTATATATATATATATGTATATTCTTCCTCTTTTATTTTCTTTTTCTTTTTCTGCTTCATTTTTAGCTATCCAACTTTTTTCATACTTCTCTCTAACCCTAACACAGGTACAATCTTTATCGTATAAGTTTAAACGATAATCCAGCGAGTTTTATTTTTAAAGTAAATCACACAAAACACACACACACGCACACACATTTTTATTTTCTAACACAAGTTTGAGAAAAAGAAAGAAGGGGGGGGAGGAAAAGGAGGAGGAGGAGGAGGAGGAAGAAAGAAATCCAATCATTCTTACAGGTTTTGTTAAATGTACTTTTAAGTCAGGAGACGAGAAAGAATCGAAAAAGATAGAAAAGAAAAAATAATAGTTGTTTCTATCCTAAAAAGAAATAAGAAAAAAGGACGTTGCTTGAAGATATATTTCTACTTTTAGATAGAAACTCTCTCTCTCTCTCTTTCTCCTTTTTATTTCTTTGTTATTTTGATCTTTTTATCTTTTTTAAGAGTTTGCTTATTCTCTCAATTGTCGCAAAACACGGGCCAACGATTTGTATTCGTTTCTGACCGACACTGAGGTGAGATTTTTTATTGTTGTTGTCTGACTACCTCTATATTTTTTGGTTTGTCTTTTCTTTTTATTCTTCTCGTTTGTGCCAGAAGACATTTTTCCACCCCTTCAATGGAGGGGCTGCGCTGCTTTCTTTTCGGTCATGACCGTTCGTTCGATTTTTCTTCTTTTTATTTTCTTACGAAGTATCAAGAAACTATGATCAACTAACCAAGAATTTAATATATATTATAACTAATAAGAATTATATATATATAATATTGAAATTTATTTTCAGTCACA